TACAGGTGGTCCCCAAAGGCACCAGAGCAGAACTCACCACATCACTGTGTGTTGTGTACAGATTATCCGCCAGACTTTCCAGAGCGAGCCACTTCACTGGCAGCTTGGAAGCACAGCCCTGACGGTAGTAATCTCCACTGTAGATTTTCTTAGAGAGACCAAAGTCTGCAACACTCACGTTCATGTTCTCATCCAACCTAAGGGAAAGTTTAAATGATTGAGAAAAGTATTTACTGGCTACTTCAAGCAAGGTAGCCAGCTCTCTGTCTGGCCAGGGAACTGAGGTATATAGTTCAGCAAGTATTGCCCAGAAGGATAATGACTTCATCTGCTTGATGACCAATGTGAAATAGTTTAGTGGTCTCAAATCAGCTCCTTGAGACTAACGGGGAGATAATTAGGACTAAGGAAGTAAGGAAACGGCCATGCTCAGACGGTCTACTCTGTCAGCCAAAGTGAAGTCAGATACTTTCTGTAGTTTCCAAGATTAACAGAGGACATCTGTACTGCTCATTTCTACCACTAAGGCCTACACCATGTATAGGCAATCGAAAAACAGAGCTGCTTGCCTAGACTGCCTATCGCAACTGGTCAAACTAGATCTCCAAGATCTTCTCTTCAGGCCTGGCTGATGGCCTGAATTGCTCTGTCACCCACTTAAACCTAGACATGTTGGTAGACAGTGCAAGTAAAGCCCACAAAGACTTCACGCTCCCAGGTCTCATAAATGACTCCCTGCTTTTCCCAGAAGACACAGAAATAGGCATTCAGTTTCCTCTGAAGTCTGTGTTTTTTCAAACGTTTAAAAATAGGAAATGAGTACGCATTCCTCACAAATGTCACAGCAGGCCAACCCATCATTTTTCATTATGACTATCAGGCTCCTGTCTGTACATCTGGACATTCAAATGCCTTTGGAAATCTGTGTCTCATTGCAGATTCTACAGTTTGTCATGGTTCTGTTCAGAGGCAGAGTTCCATCTGCCAGAATGGGTTGTTCCTCACTCCATTCTCAGGGAAGAAGCAGAGGGAAAAGAATAAAAAAGGACTTTTCTGCCCTTCAAAGCAGTGAAGGCAGTTTGAGGACAAGAACAGCAATGTGGGATCACACAGTGTGTCCACTATGCAATTATTTCTAAAGCTATTCTCCACATAAGCCATTCCTCACAAGCTTTCAGGGAAAATCTACATTTCTTATACTGTGATAATCAAGTCCTCAAAATAGATACAAGCAACACAATTTCAGGCTACAATTGAAGTTCCTTTCTCTGAACATAACCAAACCCATTCTCTCCTCTTGGTTACATTACATTGTGGAACAAATGGCCCATGCTGACACACAGCCATTAGAGCGACTAATTACAAACACATACCATAATCAACCCTATGAAAATATATGTGCAGACCAATGATGGAAAAGTTCCTTATAAATAGGGTCAATTTGGAAGCTCAGTGGGAAATCAGGAGTTACTCCCTGCTCCCAGTACCACCACCACACACCCCCACAGCCCTGGCTCCCTGATGTCTTTTGTCATTCAAATATAAGACCCAGCATCCTCCAACGGGATCCCTCCCCGCTTCTGTCACATGAAAGGCTTCGCCCCCCTCTCACCCACTCTGGTTCTTCTTTTCTCTAAAAAAATTTGTGGGTCACTTACATGCAGTTCCGAGCTGCAAGGTCCCTGTGTATGAAATTTTTTGAGCTCAAGTACTCCATCCCACTGGCAATGTCAATCATGAACTTGAGGAGTGTCTGAACAGGCAAGTTCTGAAAAAAAATAACAGTTTAAGTTCTGCTCCTGGAAGCTTTCAAGCATGTATGGCAAAACTGCAGGATCTGCTGCTAGATTACTGAGCAGGGAAGGGATGGAAGGGAGGAGTTGGTCCTCAACATGCATGGAATTAAATACCTCAACACTTCAACATCACATCCCACAGTTTTCTCTGGTATCAAAATCTGGTCATCTGCCAATGCCTTTGGGAGACCAACCCTGAACTTATCCCGAGTACATTCTCTTAAAAAGCCATACCAGAAGGAATTCTACAGTAAGTCAGACTTACAAAAGGGTTTTCCCCAATCCGTGACATCAGCAGAAAAGCATGAAGGTCTCCATGCTTCATGAAGGGCAGGATCACCATGGGAATTGGGAGACGGCCCTTGGGACGGCTCCGTAGACTGACTCCTAGCAGGGACACACACAGCAAAGGGGTTTTAGCGAACAGATCAGCCCCAGGAGGAATCTTACAGGTTGGTTTTATCTTACAAATTATGAGGAAAATGTGCAGTTTTTGTGGGTCAGTTCCATGCTCCAAGCTCCTTTGCACAGCTTCATGCCAGGAGATCTTAAGATACCTCTAACCCTGTTTATTTCAGAGGCAGTACAAAGCGCCCAGTGGCTCTCAGCTCTCCTCGCAGGACTGACTAGAAATGTTTCTAGGATTTCTCCAGACCAGACAGCCCCAAACCCCAGGGTCTGCAGAGCAATCCCTACATTCTGGAAATTGCCCATGTTCCATAGCGCCCACCCATGAGCATCCTACTTCTTACTCAGTATTTTGGAAAGGCACAATCTCTCCTCCCTCTACCAACCCACCTGTCCACATTTCACAGCAGTTCAGAGATTTCTCAGCCAGCCAAACTCTCTGTAATATTTGCAAGAACCAAAGAAGTGGCTTAAATAAGAGATGCTTATTGTTGGTGTATGAAGGCAAGTGTTGTGAGCACTTATATACGCTCCAACTCCTTCTAGGCCTGGGAAGAAGCAATGCTGATATATGCAGGACCTCAGGCAGCACAGAGGTGGCTACACCAAGAGTGTTGTTGGACAGAAGTGGGGTTGAGCATGTGAGGGAGGCTGTGTGGGATTGTGCAGGACTGCGAGGTGCTCTGTGGCACCCCAAGCAGCAGTGCTGGCTTACCTATCAGTTTAGTGACATGCGGGTGGTCAAACTCCTTCATACATGCAGCCTCTCGCAGGAACTCCTCGATGTCAGTTGAGGTGAAGATGTCCGCTGGAAAAAAGTGACTGTAAGTTTTCCTCTTTTGTGGGTGGCTCCAAGGGACTTTACAGATAATGATTATCAGAAGCTTGTTCTTCTCACAGCGCATCCTCTCAGATCTACAGCTAGATGAGTCAGTTTACAACAAAGCAGAGCCTGACACTTTCTCCTGGGATGGGCGGCAATAAGCACACATCAGGGACATCTGGTAAATAGATTCTTGGCAGAGTAAAGACCTGCTGATTAGCAGCTCTCTTCTCAGTAACAACTTTCCTTGGAAGCCATGGAAATCATGTGTGCATTAAAGATGTAAGAATTAATTAGCTAAAGGGACTTAAACCACAGTGTCGAGGAGAGGAGACGTCACACAACCAAAATGTTGAAACTGAGGAGATGACCTGAGGCCCCCGGCTGGCACAGCAGACCCCAACTCATCCCTTACGAGGGGGGCATGAAAGATTAACACTTATGTCTGTTAGCATCATTGAGTCTTCTAAGGTGTTAGAGATAAGATTTCAAACACAACCACACTACTGGAGAGCTTGGACCAAATTCAGCAGTGAGATCCATCACCATGAATTTAGAGTAAATTATTTCTCATTGCTATTACTCCAGATTTATGGAAGCATATCAATATAATCAAGAACTAGCCCAGTGGACTACTTCCTCCACTGCTGCTGCTGAATTTAGTGGCAGTCTTCCAGTCCTGCTGGAAGATTAGACCTGTGGGGGAGTATTCACATTATCTGCTTTAGGCAAGTAATTTAAATACGATTCAGAGGACAAAAGTAGATTCCCTTGTTACAGTAAATGGAGAAAGGAAAGTGCCTCTGGAGGGTGACAGAGTTCCCAAGTTAGATGCCTGAAGGTAGACAGTCTGACTACACAAAACAGCTTGCAAACTGATCAGAATGATTGTCGAAACCGGAGAGCATGATGGAACTTACACTAATGCGGTACTAGTGCATTTAGTACAAACTATTCTGTGGCAGCAAAATTCAGCTCCAGGGAGAAGCAAATGTGACTCTGCTTTAAGGTAGTCACAGGTAATTTTGCCTTACAGGCAACAGGGGTGAAATACCATAGGTTAACATACATATACATACATATATGTACATACTTGCTTTGACTTTTAGCTACCTGTTAATCGCTTTTCTTATTACAGACTTCTGCTTGATGAATGTGTTAGTTGCCCTTGCTATGCACACTCATCAAATGACAAACCAGAAGGGAGTCAGACTCCTTACTCCAATGTGCCTGACTGAGATGAGTTAGCTTGTCGCTGCATTCAGCCCAAACACTCTTCTGTTTATTCTGGAATACATGCTTGGAGGAATACCGTCTTTCACTGCGGAATTATCAGGGCCAAGCAGACCTGTCTGAGCTGTCTGTGCCACGTGATGTAGTGCTGTGTTGAATCGAGAAACTGAACGACATCCTCTATACACAAAAGCTGTAGCTATGACTTCGTTTTGGTTGCACTCATCATGTGCTAGGTGCTGTACAAGCAACTAAGGTGGTATAGGTCCTTCCCTGAAGAGCTTCCACTACAAAAAGACTGACATGATAGGAATGGCAGACAACATGGGTAGAGTGGCTGAGTGGGAAGCTCAGAGAGGAGTAAAAAGCATCAGGGCATGTTTGCTGAAGAAAAGGACAGATAGCATTTAATTTTTCCAAGCTCTCCTCTCTTAAGTACTTCAGGTGGCCCTGCTCCCACTTACCTTTCAGCATCTTCACTGCCACTTTCTGGAAAGACCCATCATCTAGCTTCAGTAGAGCCTCTCGAACTGACCCAAACTCCCCTGTGAAATGACCAGAGCAGCCAGTGAGGGAACAGCTTCTTCTGAAGAAAGTATGATTCACAGCAGGCTCACTCAAGGGGTCACTGTCAAAGAAGCTGAATAACCATGAGAAATACAACTACCAGCTTCATCTTTCATTCTGCAGTTCCAGTCAGCAGCTTTCAGCATATGTGCCTAGAAGAGACAGCACTACCAGTAGACAGAGGCCACCAGAAGGCAAAAGAATACAAGAGGGAAAGAAAGCAATCCTCTACCAGATGGACAATGCAGAATCAGAGTATAAACTGGGATCCCAGGCAGACATTTCTGGGGAAGCCATATGATGAGGGATGAGGCTGAGTGAGGCTCTGGTCAGAGAGGGGGCTATTAGCTGGAGCAGTGAGTGGATGGGTTGGCTGAAAAAGCTCTCAGTGCTGACAGCTGTCAGAGACGACTAATGGTGCCAGGATTCAACCATCTGAGACACACTCAGGCCTTATCTCTCAAAACTCAGGGAATGACTTGTATGAATCACAGCTGACCAGAGAAAACACAAAACACCTACTTGTGTGTGCATGATACGCTAATTCATGGGAGGAAGTGTTTACCCTGGTGTGTTGTCTAAGGGAGATAAGAGGAAATGCAACTGGCCAAACCCTCTTCAAATTATTTTATCCTCAAGTGGCTTTATACCACAGCATAACAGCCTCTTTGCATTAGATCTGGCTCTAGATTTGCTCTCCCTAATTTTGTTAATGCTTAACCCACCCAAAATGCATTAGGCTGAGGAACTCCAGTACTGCAAAGAAGGAAGCAAAATATGGCACTCAGGACACCCACACCAAAAGCATTAGCTTTCCACTAGCTCTTCACCAGTCTCTTTCACTACTCTATGGCACATGCTTATTTCACAATAACCAGGAGCAGTGGATCTGACCTCAAAAGAGAAAAATGGGAAGGAGCAAAGGCATTTTGTACTGCTTCCATAGCATGGAGCTGCTGCTCAGTTGCAGAGTCAGCAGAGCCCAAGCTAATACAGTCATAGAATCATAGAATCACAGAATCATAGAATGGTTTGGGTTGGAGGGGACCTTAAAGATCATCCAGTTCCAACCCCCCTGCCATCAGCAGGGACACCTTCCACTAGACCAGGTTGCTCAAAGCCTCATCCAGCCTGGCCTTGAACACTTCCAGGGAGGAGCAGCCACAACTTCCTTGGGCAACCTGTTCCAGTGTCTGACCACCCTCACAGTGAAGAATTTCTTCCTAATATCTAATCTAAACCTCCCCTCTTTCAGCTTAAACCCATTTCCCCTTGTTCTATCATTAATCATGTTCTATCAGTCATGCCTGTCTTATAGGTCTTATAACCTGTATGCTGAGCATGGAGTTGGGGGAATGTGGCCGACAACACAGACCAGATCCTGCCAGCTAGCACCCTCCCACCAAGGCCATCCATCCCCAGGGGCCCCACTGCAACCAATTTCCATTTTTGTAACCTGTTGTGGGGACAGCCCAGAAGGGTTGAAGCAGGATCCCAGAAACTGGCCAAGAGCTGACACTCACAAACAGATGACACAGCTGTTTAATTACTTAGCATTGTTAAGCCCTCTGAGACCACTTCTGCAGGAAGGTCATCTTCCTGCTCTGAAAGAAATGGTTTTGTTCTGGGAGGGATGGAGTGGAAAAATGCTCCTGGTGGGAAAGGGTCAAAGAAAACTGCAATAAAACTACTCTTATTAAGAAAAAGGAAGCCAAACTCTTCAACTTCATTTTGCTTATGACCCCTGATTTACGCTCCTCTCTTGGCTTTCCTATTACATGTTTTCACTTATTTCTAGAGATTGCCTTCAGCCTGAGAAGTAGAGAAGAATGATTCAACAGTTAGCAAACTGGCCTCCCATCTGGGAAATCTAAATTCAAAACCATCTTTTCACACAGAGTTTCTGGGCCAATCTTTTAGCTAGAGTTAAGTGAGAAGCATCCCTCCTTTACTCTGGCCTTCCCTCCTGACCTGAAAACCTCAGAGAAATGTTAGGGGCACCTGTGTGGGAGATCTAGGAGATCCACAGTCAGAAAAGCTCCTAAGGACCTGAATTAATGAAGACAAACATCAGCAAAATTCAGTACCTGTCCCAAATGTGCCTCTATAAGAGCCCAAACTAAAATCTAGAGTCAAATCACCCCAGATGTTGAGAATATCTGAAATGGAATCAACTTTTTTTTTACAGGGATTGGAATGTTTGAGGTAGCTCATGTCTGTCTGTATTGTCTCAGCGTGTTTAATACTTGACGCATGCTTATGTAAACGGAAGGAATTCCATAGCACCACTTTGTTAGCAGAAAGAGCAGGAGTTTAATAGAATATTCCTTTGTTTAAATCTCTGAAAGAAATTCACACACCAGTGAATCAGCAGTACTTTGGAAAGCTGAGCAGAGACCGCAGTTCATGACTCTGTAGAGCCATATTACAGGAATGGTTTAGCCAGTATCCTCTTAGCTATGCTAAACCTTTGAAATGTTTTATCCCAGTGGAAGGGAAAGTTCCATTTAAATTGCCAACGATAAGCAGGAGAGAAAATAGGCTGCTTATAATTGCTTCTCCCTTGTGAACAGCAAAGGTAACACAAGTGGGACTTTCAATGTAAAGCCTCGTTCAGTTTTGGTTCTTACCCTTGCCCAACATTCTTCCCAAGGTGAACTGCTGTTCCTGGATCAGGACATCCTTGAGTTTCATCTTCAGCTCATCACTGATCCCTATACTCTCCACTGGAAAAAACAAACAAACAAACAAACAAAAGAAGAGTCAAATAAGGGATACTTAAACATTCTGTCACAACATCAGGAGTTACCTGTCCCATTCTGTAAGGAGGTAAACCTGAAAAAGGTAGAGTTCCCTTCCATGTCCTCTAGTCTCACCACAGACAAGAGGACAATAACTTTCAACCACAAGAAAATGTACCAACAGTACTGAAAGGCAGAGGGTGTGGTAACACCACCCTTAAACACACCATGAGGAACAGGAATACAGAACTACTGTAAATAACATTGAGAAGACAGGATCCAATCAGAAGGGACACAGACTCTGGTTCACACAGCTTCATTTAAGTTGATGGAGCTGCGCCAGCTTTCGGCGACTGGCTTTCCGACTATTTAAAATACAGTACAGGTCTCACAGGACTTGGCTGAGAGGGTAACATAATGTCCAACAGTTTATGGTCACCAGATTTAATGGAGAGACCTCTAAACCCAGGGGAGCAAAGTCAAAGACAGCTGGAGCATCAACCTAACCCAGCCTTGCAGCGCTGCTACAGAGAGCCATGCCCTTGCTGAATCAGGAGACAGAAATGGATCATCTTAACTTTGGCCATTTCTGGGACTCAATCTCCTGTTTGAGAAGTTACTAATTCCTCGCCTTCCAAGCCTGATCAATTGGTTCATGCTTGTAGCACAGCTCAGCACGCTGAGTTTAAAGCGTACTGCTAATATTGTTAAGCCATTTTTGTCTCACTGTTGAATAACATCACAAAGGAGTCCCTGTAGTGTGAAACTGGGACAGGGGAGTGGTGAATTTATGCCTTGCACTAACATACACAATGACTGTAGCTGTAATTAGCAAGTGCTATGCAATTGGTATAGCAAGAGCAATTCTGGCCTTTCACCTCCACCATCCACAGTGTCTAAGCCTCCTTGTAAATTAAGCCTACATTCTTGATCCAAAAACATCAGTTTCAGGGAAAACAAAGAGAGAGCACAGTACATGCATGAACACAGTTTCTCAGGCAGAATCACTCAAAGTCATTTTACTTACATGTTGCTTCAATGAGCTCTGGGCCTTCCCTGTTGAAAGACCTGGCAGCTCTGAAATGGACTGCTGGATCCCCTCTGCCAACCACACTGCCAAAGGCATGGCTAGAAGGAGAAAAGACACACAGGGCCGTGATTACATGGACCATTCACTTCTAAAGGATGTGTTGAACAGTATGGATGATTTCTCACGCCTTGCCATATAAATACTACAGACTGTTTTGTTAAAGAGGGTGTAGCTGGAGAGGAACAACGGGTTGATGCTGCTTTGCTGATGCACATAGAAGGAGTGGAAGCCTTCCGAAAGATGGGAATCACTCATCCTGAGTGCCTGGGAGAAACTGCAGGTTGGGGCAGGTTGCAAAAGTCACATAAACAGAGGTGCTGTGGTGAGAGGGAGGTCTGGGAGACTCTGAAAAGAATGTGAACCTTGCTTGCAGCAGGGAGCAATGCACAGCCAAATGTCAGAGGTGATGGAAAGGAGACTTTCCTGGGGATCCAGAGGGTTCTGGGCAGTCAGGAAGTTACAAGTAGCTGCTAGACCAAGAACCAGCGTGGGATAAAGGGCCCAGCCCATAAGAACACAGAAGATGATTCATTTGTGGGTCTTTTATCTTTGAATCTCTTAAGCAGCAGTGCTAAGGACTTACAGAATTACCTTGATCTAGTTTATAATTCCATATTCTAATAAAGCCCAAAAATAAAGTATTTTTAATACTCTCATTTGGAAGAAAAGGTAAGGTACTTTCCTGCTAGTCTGTAATCCAGGGTCAGGCCCAAATTGTGGAGAAAAAAATAAAAGTTATCCAAAAAAAGTGTCAAAAGTACTCAATCCACAATGCTTTTTGAAAGCATAATTAAGTCAGAAGCCACACTGGAGGAGAAAGCAAAGATCTCTCTAACCAGCACGAGGAGAACCTGCCTTACCCAAACCGAGTTTCCTTTCTTCTTTTTCGAAGGAGAATAAGAGCCAGGGCAACAGCTGTGACCAGAGCTGTGAGGATGCCCAATGCCACAGGAACCCAGGACGTCCCATAAGGAGGTTGCCTCTGGCCACCTAAATGATGAAGAAAACACCAGTCAGGACACAGAAGTCTGTCAATGGTAAACAGACCATACTGGGATATTTCTTGGTTTTGCTTTTAAATGGAAAAGCCATTTTAAAAGCCATGCTGCTGGATCTGGTGCACACAGTGGATCATTGTACACTGGAATTTGGCATAAACAGCTACTCAGTCAATCATCAGAAAAACTACTTGTTTCACACAGCAAAGGCAGCCTGGATGCATCCAGTTATCAGAACCTCTTCTTAGTTTTGAGCCTCAAGAAAGTAAAAGGCGGTACTCCAGATTATATTATTTTACATGAGCCCATGGGGCACTTTACGTGGGAGTCTCAAGACAAAAAGGTTGCTTAATATGAGCATTTTCTGTGAAGGTTTCACCTTGTCCTGTTTGAGGCAGTCAGCAGAACCTTGACCAGGCTACACATTACTGCCCTGAATGCCAACCAGATAACATTTTGAAAGGCAAGAGAGAAAGACAATTGTCTCATAGTAATCTGTTGAAAATATTTACATTTCCCATTTCACCCCTCCCACAAAGAGAAGCACGCTGTGGAACTTGGTATTGGCTGTAATTTCCCAGTGTTCTTTGTTGGTTGTAACTTCTCAATGTCTGTGCCAATGAAAAGGTGAATTTTAAGAAGTGCCCTGCGAGTCAAGAATAAATCAGTCAGCATGCAGGTTCCAATTCTGGTCTAATATTTGCCCCCAGAATACATATACTTTTGACTATGAACTGTCTACAGAAGAAATAGAGATGCTGCCAATCTGAGTAAACTGCCAGGGAAGGAAGACAAGCAATATGGTTATGAATAAAAGAATATTATCTATGCTTGGCAAACAACAGATAAATTAATCCAATTCCCTGAGAGATTTCTTCTCCAAATACAATTACTGAAGATTAAATGTGAATTTGAATGGGTTTGTTAAAATCTAGGATAGCCCTCATGTCTCCGAATCATTTAAGGGCAAACAAGAACAAGTAACAGGTCCCTAAGCACTTCCTTCATCTTCGTGTTCCCTTGCTCGCCTTCAGTCATTGACTGCGCTTTACCAGAAGCTAAGGAAGAATCATCTTGGATCATGTTATATATGTTATGAGAGTGTAAGTAAACCTCTCCTTAAAAGAGCTGTTAGGTTAATGAGCTGAGATTTGGATGAACCTCTGCACAGGTGTATGTGAAAAGGAGTCAGACACCCTTACTGGCAGAGTCCTGGCAGGTAAATGGCTTCTAAGGCTTGACTACTAGTTACATCGTCGAGCCTTATTCTCCAAGTTTTAAAAGAAACAATGTTAGTCTAATAAAAAGGTAGAGTTTAAGGAAACACAATTATGGACCACTGAAGAAGCAGACTAGTACTTCTCCACTTGAAACAATTATCACCCTAGCACCCATTTTGAAGCATCTTATCTCCTTCAGTGACTCACGTATTCTTCTCCACCCAGAAGGCTTTATAGGCTCTGGGTTTTATGATACTCTTTCTTGCTGCACCTTTTCACCTGGCCTTCAAGGCTGCTTATGAGGAGGGAGGGGGATCAGAAACAGAAGTGGAATGAAAATACAATCAAAGGTAACTCCAATCCCCTCCCCAATTCCCATTCATTTGGGCTTCCACACAATCAGGGCCGAAACAATTAACAACACTGATGTAAAAGATCCTCTCTGATAGCTAACGATAAGGTTTCCTTCTTCCTATGGTGAGGCAAACCTCCCTCGGTCTGTTTTTCTAGTCTCTGTCTGCTAGCTGGCCTGGCAAGAGAGCAGGGAGTTAGGTCACCTTCCGGGGGTCCCTCCAAAAGGAGGATGGATGAGAGCAAAATAAAACTCCCTGTTTCTAAACCGCTAGAAACCAGAAGCCCATCCCACAGCTTATAGCAAATGTGTCAGAAATAGAAATGAACGTTGAAATTCACTGCTCCTCCTCCTCTGCCCCACAGATCATTCCTTCCCACTCATGGCACTGAGCTAGAGAGGATGGCTGCAGCCCAAGAAAAGACCGAGTGGCCTCTCCTCTCCCAACTCCATCTCTCTCCTACCTCCTGTACTTTCCCTTTCCAACCAGCATAAACCTTAAAGACTGCACAAGGCAGAGAGAAAACAGATACTATTAGATGAGGTTAAACAAATATTTAGGAGTCCTTTGATGACAAGAGAAGCCCCTTTATTTCTGTAGCAGGTTTTATATCACAAAGGTGTGCAAAGAATGTAACCCAGGAGTCTTATCCTGCATAAGATCATGAAGATTACAGACAGGAAAAAGCTATTA